GACTTTTCCGCATTTTTCATCCAACGATGTTTCCTCACGCAGCTCCCCGATACCGCTGCCTGAAGCTCAGCAGCAAGTTGGCTTGGAGACACTATTAGGCGACAACAAAGAAACGACACCTGAAAAGGTGGAGAAGAAGAAGAAGAAGAAAAGAGTCTCTTCTCAGCCTTCAGCCCCCCCTGTCAAGCAAGATGAAGAAAGAGAGTGGGTGGTAGAGCGAATTGAGGATTACAACGAGTACGAAGCGGAAGGCGGGGGTCTTGTTCGGTACTTCAAAGTACGCTGGGAAGGCAACTGGCCTGAGGATCAGAACCCGTCATGGGAACCGGAAGAGAACCTACCCCCAAAGCTGGTACGGAACTGGTTCAAGCGGGGAAAGAGGAAGATCAAGCCCTGGAAACCGAAAGAAAAGACGCCCAAGCGCAAGCTGAAACAGACCACCCTATCATGGGCCAAGGCGGCGCAGTATAGCAATGTTAGCGAAGCTTTTGCCGGCGCGGATGAGCACGACAAGGCACCTGGCGCTAATGATGACGACGGGCGAGATGAGGATATACTCGACAATCTAGACGGGATGAATAACGATGCACATACGCCGACTGGGGAGGTTAGTCAAGATGAGGAGGAGCTGTTCGTTGTGGATGACAGACCAAGCGTTTTGGGCACACCACGCTTTGGCTGGGGCGATGCTGGGGATAGACTCTCTTTTTTCGGGACATGAAAGCGATATATTGGGATTTCATAGGCGAACTGCACGCCCATTCTGCATGATGCGACGAAACACGCATAGGCGCTCTGGTGATATGGGGCATGACTTTGGATTATGGGCGCAAAGCACCCATGCTGACAAGATATCTGGCGGGAGAAGCTGCCTCTGGAGAGAAGCGCGATAATGTTACAAAATGAATAAACAAATTCAATACCCAAGGCGTGCTGACCACCCTTTTGGAGAGATGGGCCTCTGCTCGCGCCCGGCTAACACTGTTTCCAGCATGATCAAGTTTTGCATTTGTCTGGCTTCGCTGACACGCGAGGCGTTGCTTTCGGGGTTCTCGTTTAGATCCTGACAAGGACATGGGGTGAGGTTGAAGCGTTGCCGCCCAAGGTTTCCGAGATACCACATCGGGTAGGTGCGTTTCGTCGAAATAAGGTTTATCTCGGGGTAGAGCATCCATTTCGGTATTCGGGGTGGTGATGAAGCACGCCACGGCGGTTGGTCAGCAATTGGCGATCCGGCGAACTAAACCAATGGAGAAACGGGCAGATGGCGGCGGGATGATGGAATCACTACGCCCTTTGACATGACATGGGACAAACCTGGCTAACTTGGAGCTTTGTAATCCGCAAATTCCATGCCATGTCATACTATCATCAGCGTCGCGCCCTAAATTCTCACCGACACTATATCTCGGACTCGTCCCATCAATCAGAGTCTATCCGCAACTTCACCCGTCGGAGGATCCGGTTTGTTCACAGCAATGTCAACGCAGGTAGAAACATGGCACCAGGGCGAGGCAGCCGTCCAGAAGGCGCTCAAGATCCCTCCAAGCAGGAATCCGACCTACTATGGGCTCCCCGCAAGGTTTGGCCTCCGGGTGAACCATTCTTCGCTCATGGCAGTCGGCACTCTTGATGCTGATGGCCGGCCGTGGACCACGCTCTGGGGAGGGCACCTCGGCTTCTCGCGCCCCATCCATCAAGACGTCCTGGGCATCAACACCTCTGTCGCCACCGACGTAGATCCCGTGTTCAAGGCTCTGTGGGGGCCGGGCGATCATGGCGAGGGTGATGTCGTCCAGCATGAGAACAAGCTGATGGCGGGCCTGGCGTTCGAGCCGGAGACGAGGGACAGGGTCAAAATATCAGGCAAGATGATCGCCGGAGCCATCACAGACAAAGCCAGGACGAATATCCAAATGGCAATGGCGATCACGCAATCCATTGGCAACTGTCCCAAGTACATCGCCAAAAGGCGGATCACGCCGAGCCCCATCGTGAAGGAGAAGGTGGCGGTAGCGCACGAGGGGCTCCCACTGCCTTCGGAGGCAATTAAGTTGATAAACAATACGGACCTCTTCTTCCTATCTAGCACCGACGGAAAGGAGATGGGGACAAATCACCGGGGTGGTCCGCCAGGCTTTATGAGGGTTTTAAGCAACAATTCGAGAGCAGTGGAACTCGTCTATCCAGAATGTAAGTCTCTCACTGACCCTCTGATATTGTTCTAGCCACTGGTGACACATGCTAACATTGTCATAGATTCTGGAAATCGGTTTTACTCTACCCTTGGAAACTTGAAAGTTAACCCGCTGGTTGGCATCATCATTCCCGACTTTGACACTGGCGATGCGCTGTACCTGACTGGCTCTACGTCCCTCTTGTTTGGCGAGGAGGCATCGTCCGTCCTCGCCAGGACCCAGGTTGCCGTGAAAATTACCGTTTCAGATGCCAAGTTTATCCGGCAGTGCCTCCCCTTCAGGGGGCCCGTGATGGACTATTCTCCCTATAACCCACCAGTCCGGTATCTGACCAGCGAACGAGCTCCGAACAACGCACCGCTTTCCTCCAGTTCCTCCATATCAGCGACGCTCATCAACAAAGAACCAATCACATCCACCGTCAACCGCTTCACATTCAGACTCTCCTCAAAGCCGAAATGGGCAGCAGGACAGCATGTGACGTTTGACTTCCATGACGAGGTGAGCGGCGGGTACAGCCACATGAACGACGGCGACCCCCAGAGCCTCAACGACGATTACATCCGAACCTTCACCGTCTCAAGCCGGCCGGAGGATGAGAATCTACAAATCACAGTGAGGAAGCACGGGCCAGTGACGGGATTCCTGTGGAGGCAGAACATCAACGCCCAGCTTGAGATCCCCGTCATGGGTTTTGGGGGCAAAGAGGAATTCCACCTCCCTGTGCCTGCCTCACCATCCCCAGAAGATGGCAAGATTGCTGGACCATCTTCGGTATTTGTGGCTGGTGGTGTTGGGATCACGCCGATCCTTGCACAGGCAGGCCCAATCGTTGCCGGTGGGGGGTCGAGCCTGGCGGTTCTCTGGACCTTGAAGAGGGAGGATGCCAACTTTGCTATTGATTCCTTTGAGAGGATCCCAGGGCTGGCGAGTGCGACCAGGTTGTTCCTCACCGGGAAAGACAGCGGTTCACCCACAGTGGCTGCCCAGATTGAGAAGCTGAAGTCCTTGGGTTCGCATGTGACGGAAAGGCGGATAAGTGGAGATGATTTGGAACCTTTTAAAAGAGAAGGGGTGCGATATTATATTTGCGCTGCGCCGGTTCTGATGCGCCAGATCACAACTTGGTTGGAGGGGCTGGATGTTGTCACTGAAGATTTTGGCTACTAATATCAGTTCGGCCACACGTGAAATATTCTTAAGATCATCAGAAGGTTATCAAAAGTCAATTGATATTGTGTGAAATCCACGTAATCATACGTACGTGTCGTTTGAAGGATATCTTGTCACTTCCAGTTTCAACCCAGGGTCTGTCAACGCTCCGACCGTCGGAGTCACACTCTCATTCTGATATAGGAGGTTCTTTTCATACAATACGTTTGCCACCCCCGAAAATAGTTGACACAGTTGGCTTCTATCCATCTAATCAATCATCTCCCTCCCTGATGAGGGCTGTTCGGGCTTGGGTGGAGATCTGTCGATGGCCTCACCGGTCCCCGCCAGCCACCACCACGATTTATAAACCACATCACATCCTCTCTCCATCACATACGACCATACCTGCTAGAAAGCACTGGATCCCGTTTGATCTCCGAGCGTTAAGCTAGTAAGGGGTCAATTAGTAGCTGGGTCGGTGACGACCAGCGAATCCTGGCTGTTGTATGTTTATTTTTTCCCCAGTTGATGAAGAATCTCTTTTCTTTTTGTCACTATACCAAAAGCCAGAAGAAGAGACACTTTCTTTACCTCGGAATCCTTCTCGGTGGCTTGATTATATGGGGGACGCCGTGACAAAGGTCCTGGGTATACACTCCCTTCTACCCATGGACAGCACTCCCTCCTGGTCACTAGAATACCAAATACCTCCAGGAACACAACTGTTTTATCATCGACCCAGGCATGAAAGAGAATATCATGCTTGCAAATGGTAAATGGTAATTGAATAATCATAGCCGGGGCCTACCTTTCAACCCAACACGATGGGCTGGATAAATAGGTCAAATTTGGCAAAGGCCAATGATTAATCAAATATCATGGTCAGATTGGATTTGTTTACTATACCATGGATCTTTGTATTCCAATGCCTATCGTGCCGGATACGAAGTAGCTTCGCTGTTTACTTGGAGTTTTACATGATTGGGACCAAGCTGTAGATGTCTGGCCAGTGGTGATAATGCAAAATCCCCCCAAGTTATCAACTCGATAAAATAATGGGGAATCTTTATTTATATCTGTATGCGAATGGTAGTCAAATCGCCCAACATCGGACAGTGAAGCAGATTGTTTGTTCACGACGAGGAGTTTCTTCTGGATAAACAATAAGCAGAGAGGAGGAAACAAGATTGACACGGCTCTCTTGGCTCTAAAATCCCAGCATGTTTATCTAGAGGCTGTTTTCTAAGATTCTATTGGACAGGTTAAGTGCCTTGATTGTTTACCTGTTGGTTGCATGGCCCAGTGTCCCATATATGAAACGTGCACTCAAAGAAACAAGACTTCGCCGCCTATCATGTTAAAAATCTTTACTTTCTCTAATTCATGTCTGACAACAAGTCAGGTGCGTAGGGGGCCATCGCCGTCGCACTGGAACGTCCTGCTTTACATCTCGGTTAAAGAGCTGTTGTTTACATCGGTTGTTTCCTTATTCCTCACACAAATTCACCTCCAACGCGTGTCCCGGTAAATCTGGCTCTCTTGATTCAAGTTCACTATAAAAACCGCCGCTTTTCCCACGCAATCCTGATATTTCTTGGGTCAATCCTAGTCTACCATTCTACTGTCCAGTTTCGAATCTTGCCCGCAATGAAGGAAGAAGACGAGTCCAAGGAGAAGATTCAGCTCATTGATGAGCTGAAACCTCCTAACGAATCTAAAGACCTTCATTCAGAGAGTGGAAACGAAGAAGCTTCCCGACCTTCTCGGCCGTCCCTGAAATCAGAACTACCGATCACGTCGGGTGCAACGGAGTATTCCAGCATTTACTTCAACGAGGGACTATTCAAACCCTTCGAAATAAATCATCCCGACACCATGAATGCCCAAGAAGGATCGGGTCCTCTGTTACTCAGATTCCACCTGAGCGAGGAGAGCAAGCGATGGGCTCAACTTCTCACCAACTTTCAACTCCCGCACATTGAAACCCCAATTATGGAATTTTACGTTCGCAGTTTTCAGCATGCCAAAGGGTCAACCGCGAGTTTGATCCGAGCGTTGATCACACCCGCCCTGATTCCGTGCATCCTACGCACCTCTTCGACCAGACCGGAGGCGAAGAATCTTGTTCAGATTTCAAATCCGATCATCACGGGCTTCGATAAGAGAGCATTCCCCGAGGGACACATGAGACCTCTGAGTGAGCATTTCTCCCGACACGGTCGGCTCGCAGCATTGAGACCCTCTGCCGCCGTCTACTTCCCATTTTTGCTATGCGAAGTAGCTTCAAGCCACGAAAGCCTCCATCTTGCTGAGCTCAAGAACACCCGCAACGCAGATGCAATCATACAAGGGCTCACAACATTATTCCACACTGCTGATCAACTGGAGTTGTTGAACCGCAATATAGTGGTTTTTTCACTCGCCCACAACGATACCATTGCCAGGGTAATTGGTCACTATCCAGTGATCGACGGTGGAATCGTCCATCACAGAGCATACCACCTCATTACTGACGATATCTCGGTTGAGGCCGGCAAATGTTATCGCATCATTCGCCACTTTGTGGAGAGACTCTATCAGGAGTGGTCGCCGGGACATTTGCTGTTGATCCAGGGGGCCCTTGCGGCGGTTGTGAACTCCTGGGATAACGGAGCTCAGCAGTCACATCCGGATAATCAGATGAAGGCGGAACCGAGCGAGGAGTGATTTTCGCCACAGGCGTGAGGGGGGGTTTTCTGTTCTTGCTTCAACTCCATCTTGTTGTTTCTCTGTCCCATGATCCAGGAAATATGGCACACTGCTTCCTTTTTTTCTTTTCTTATTAGTATTCTCAAATGGACATGTCTCCATGACCGATCTGACAGCTTTTCTTTGCTTGCCTACGCTCATGTCGCTGGCTGAGGCTGTGACTAAGATAGGTTTCATGTATTTCAATTCATATGCGGTCTGAATTCAATAAATGACAAGCTGTGATGTTTGCTTCGTACCTCATTTAAGAGTCAATTGGCTCACCCTGATACCTTCTATCTTGTCCCTCGATGCCCCGATCACTTCGAGCCGTGAATCATATCCAGTGCTTCTGCCACGCTCTTCGCCTCTTCGTTGTAGCGAGCTCTAGATTTCTCCTGTAAATCCCAGGTCTCGTTAAGTTTCTCAACCATGAATGGCGCAAGCGTCGCCTTCTTCCCAGCCTTATAGTCGTAGACGGTAACCTCCTCCAAGCACCGCGCCGCGAGCCGACGGTGCTTTTCTGATATTATCCAGACTTCCAGCATCAGATCATGAGTCTCGGTTGTTGGCGCCTCGACTAATCTATTCAAGACCGTGACATTGTCGGGAAATGTCATTGGCTAGAGATATTTCATTAGCCATGACGAGGAGACGCGGGGAAGCTTTGAATCACTCACGAATTTAAACTCCGTCTTAATACTCTTCAGTATAAGACCGAGCCCTCTCGGCGTCAGGAGGTCATCCCATAATTGCCCTCTGTCTTCGGTGGTGTCTCTGCCGTGGTTCCGGAAGAAGTTGACTCTTGCAGACTCGGCGTAGCGATTGTACATTACATTATTTACATGTCCTACATCCAGGATTGTCAGTCTTCAATTATTTATTTCATTTGAGGAGGGTTGCTGCGAAAGTGATTCATTACCCTAACCAAATTGTTATTTGTAAGCCAATTAAGAATATCAATAATGTGAGACATTGCCACTCACCATGCTGTCCTATTATCCCCAATGGCATCGAGATGTTAGCGATTAACAATAAAACGAAATGAAATTGGAAGGAAGATTTTTGAGACATCATCTCGTTCTTCCAAATCTGGGCGTACTTGCCATATCGCCCCAGAAGATGGGCTGGCGGTCCAAGCCTCTATAATCGTAATCGGTGATGAATCCTTCACGCCCAGCCAACAAACCCAGCCAGTGTTTCTCAGTATGCTTTAACAGCTTCTCCGCTTCCTCTAATTTGGCCCTAGAAAGTTCTGGGGTCATTGAACGCTTGATACGCGACTGCAAATCTGAGAACCATCGTGGATTGGGATGATCAATGGATTCTGGGAGGGTAGCAGCGAGATCGGAGGGGTTCTTGCTGCTGCTGTATTGGCGACGGCAAGCAATGAGGTTGCGCTGAGCACAATTACGAAAGAAAGAGGCTCGCAACATTGTGATATGTATAATATAGTATGATAATAATGATAAATATGTATCCAAGTTGCCCTCTCCGGGGGAGAAACGAGTTGGCGAGGCACCGTTGAGCCGGAGGTACCCGTGGCAATCGGCATTACGCCATGGTATAGGGTAGCCATTAACGTGTGAAGAGGGACGGACACTGTACCTCGGGCACTCTCGCCTCGCGCTTGCGCTTAGCGGCTACCTACGTTTAGGCGCGACATGTTTTTCCCTTGACCTGAGCTCGCAGCTCCGTCCAGAATGAGATCACCACCACCACCATCTGGAACTTGACGACTTTGCAGCTGAGGCACTGCTCCAACAACCTCACGACCCCCAAACTCCACTCAATCACTTTTTTTCTCACTCTTATTTTCAATTCTTGGGTTTTCAATTGATCGCTCCGAGCGCTCGAGACCACCTCTGCCACAATGTCCTCCTCGCTCAAGACCGTCGGCATGCGCCTCTCGGGCTCCCTCTCGAGCCGCTGCTGCCCTCGGGCTACCACCATGCTCGCCACCGCTGCTCGGCCTATCTGCCTCTCCCAGCAGAACCGCTCGATTTTCCCTGCTCCTCCATTCGCCCGTGCCAACTCCAGCTTGGCGTCGAACACCCCCGCCGCCGATAAGGTTCCTGCACTCGACTGGAACACCTTCTTCAAGTTGCGCCTGCGCCGCCGCCGTGTCCAAGTCTTCTTCTCCGCTATCACAGGTATCGGTGGTTTTGTCGTGGGTGCCGGTCTCTTGTCCTCGGGTATCGCCGACTCTCTGGTCAGCCAGGTGCCCCTCGACCCATTCTTCACCCTCGGAGGACTCACCATCGTGTTCGCTGGTGCGGGCTGGCTCATCGGACCCAGCATCGGCAACCAGGTTTTCTATCTTCTGAACCGTCAGATCAGGTCCCAGATTCACAAGAAGGAGGATCAATTCTTGGCAAGGATAAGGAAGAACCGAGTTGACCCTACCAACTCGAGCGCTTCCAACCCGGGTATGTACTGCGGGCGCTATTCCTGTCGTATTTTATTCTCTCATGGCTAATCATCTCTCTCTTGCAGTGCCCGATTTCTACGGTGAAAAGATTCAGAGTGTTCAGGGCTACCGACGATGGCTGAAGGATCAGCGTGCCTTCAACAAGAAGAAGACGGCCAACTTCGTGTAAAACCGGGCCATCTTGCCCTCCTCTGCAGGCTCGATCACATACTATATATGTGGTTGTGCCCGTGTATCTATGGCTTCCTTTTCCCATCATGATTCCATTTTCTTTTTGGGGTTGGCGCAATTACAGGCATTCAAGTCCCCCCCTCGATGTAGCAACAAAACACTCGGCTCTGTGGCGGATATGTCATCATGTACTTAACAAAAGACGGTTCTACTCTTAAATTCTCCTCGTCAAACCTCCCACTTTCGTTCGTCGGTTCCCGCGTTCCCTCCCACACTTCCATCCTTCTTCTTTCATGAGGACCCTGCAGGTCATACAAACGGTATCGATGGGTCGATTGCGTTTCTCCACGCCATCAGTCCACCGCTGATGTCGCCGACGAATCGCTCTCCGTCCCGGTCAAGTCCCATATCTTTCAGTTTCTGTGCGGCTGTCTGCGAGTCATTCCCTACACGGCATACCAGGTATACCGGCGAAGAGGGAGAGATGGCCTCCGGGAACCACTCTGGGACTTGACCTTTCTCTGGGCGGTGGCTCATGAAGCGGGTGATGGGAATGTTGATGGAACCGGGGATGCTGCAAAGGCCAAATTGCTCTTTCTCTCTGACATCAATGAGAACATGATCTTTTTGCTCCTTGGCGATGCGCGCATAGTCTTCTACCGTGATTCTCTCCTCTGGCTTCAAGAGTTTGACGGGCTCCTTCACGCCGCAGAATTGAACGTAATCCATCGAGGATTTCAATTTCTCTAACGTGAGCTCCGAAGCATCGCCGCATGCGACGCAATCACTCCTGCGTCCTCTCATCCTCACCGATCGGAAGGGGGTGTCAGTCAGCGCACTGAACAACAGCATGGTATTCGTCTTCTTCTTCTCGTCGCCTTTCTGTTCCGCCTCTTGCGTGATCACTTTGATCGCCTCAAGGGCTTGCAGAACACCCATCACGCCAACGACTGGTCCTATGATACCCCCCTCACCACAGCCGACCACGCTCTCTGGTGGGGGAGGCTTGGGAAAGACGCATCGGTAGCAAGGCCCTTGACCAGGCGGGTTGTTCAGGACGATCAGCTGACCGGAAGACTGGAAAGCGGAGGCTGAGATGAGCGGCTTGGAAAGGAGGGTGCAGATGTCGGAGATGAGATAGCGAGAGGTGGGATGGTCGGTGCAGTCAAGAACGAAGTCGTACTGCGAGACGATGCCTTGAGCATTTTCGGTAGTGAGATGTGTCTGGTGGGCGTGGTATTTGATGGTAGGGTTCAGCCTAGGTCGAGTTGTCAGTTGTGTTGCGAGGGAACGGAGCTTGGATACTCAGAGAGAGCGCGTAGGATGAGGTCTCTGACCTTGCGAACTCACTCTTGCAGATAGGTAATGGCACTTTCCACCTTGCTCATGCCCACGCGACTTGTAGAATGTGCAATCTGTCGGTGGAGATTGGAGACCTCGACAGTATCTCCATCTACCAAGCCTAGAATCCCAACGCCAGCCCCGGCTAGGTAGGCCGAGGCTGGACAGCCCAAGCCACCTGCGCCAATCACCAGGACTCTTGACTTCTTCAATTTAAGCTGGCCTGCATAAATGTTAGATTTACACCGAAGAATGTAGTGGAAATCAGTGGGAAACGAGGACAAGTTACTGACTCTCAAGACCGAGTTTTGGCACAATCATCTGCCGACTATACCGGTCGTACTCGTGCTGTGCCAAAGGCCATTTCCAACCCGACGATCCATCATCTTGACGAGCACGATGTTCCGATTCCGCAAGAGCGAGTTGGGATCTTAAATCTGCCAGCTCTGACTCCCTCAGGGCTATCTCCCTGCGGAGTTGATCTATTCTCTCCATGTAAGAGGAGTCACGAGCTCTGGTTTGGCGTTGAGTTTAAGTATGAAAGGCAAAAATGTTCGAAGATACTGGTAATAGTAAAACTTTGAACAAAATTCTCTCCTGCAAGTATTCAATTTTGGCCCGTAAATACTATTAGAGGGAATAGCAAAAGGCTGTGCTTGGTAGTTTAGATGATGAGTGTTGGTGTAGATTTGACGAGAAATGCCCCTCCATGAAAGTTCTCGGTGTGCCCCACCATTATCTCGGTGAGGTCATTATTCACCGAGAACATTCCCATTCTTTTTTTTCGGTCCTGGTTAAGCTCCAGCCCACCTCTCGCACTCGAACAACATACAATTGACCACCCCAGAAGAAGAGTCCACAAGCCCGCATTACTCTTAAACTCTCGAACAATAACCAGCAATTATGGTAAGCTACAAGAACCCTTTCTCCTTCTCTTTAGAAAGCACCGTAATCTAACCACCAAACAGGCTCCCCGCCCACCGCCCTCAGACAAGAAGCCCTCGGCCCGCGCCCTGCGCATGCAGCGCATAACCGGCCAGGTCCACCCCCTCGCCCCCATGAAGACGCACAGGGAGGGCACCCTCACCGACGACTCCTTCCTCTCCTCGAAGCGCGACAAGCGCCAGATCAAGCACTCCTCCTTCGTCTCCCGCATCTCGGAGGGGTCCCGCGTCGCCAAGAGCAAGAAGCGGACGCGCCGCCCGGGGAACAAGCTCGCCGCCGACCTCGACGCCCTCGCCGACGCGCTGCCGGAGATCGACCCGGGCGCCGCCGCCAACCGGGGGAAGGTGCAGCACAAGAGCCTGCGGACGAGGAAGGGCGCGCTGAAGAGGAAGGAGAGGATCGTCAAGGGCGAGATGGAGAGGTTCGGGGCGAGCATGGCCCGGCTGGCAGATTTGCCCGCGGACCAGGTGGCACAGAAGCAGCAGCAGGTGGATGAGAAGATGGACGAGGCGCCCGTGCCGGCTGCGAGTACGAGTAACAGGTGGGCGGCGCTGCGAGGGTACATCTCCACCACGATGGAGCAGAACCCGGCATTTTTGAACAAGTAGCGGGCTGGCTTGGGTTTACATGAGTTTGACGAGGCATCCTCTTGAGGACTAGAGTCTAAAAGTCCATTGGCACCGGTTTGGTAGCCTGAGTTGGAACACATTGCACTGCATTCACACACGGAGTTCTAGGAGTCTGGGTAGTTTATAGGACGATAGCTCTGGGAGTCAGAGCCCGATTGAAATTTAAAGATACTGAAATCATGTGCTTGAGATACGCGGAAAGAAAGCCACAATGAGAAAAAACAATCATTTTACTCTCTTCCTCTGGTAACCCTCGTCTTCGGTTATGACGCCATGAACTCACGATAAAACCCCGTGTGAACAAGAACCATTGTCCGACTGTTTTCTTGACCCTGCAAGATAGAAAATGTAAAACAATTGTCATGATAGAGAACGACACTGGGAAAGTGCATCAGAAATTTTAGTGTCTTTGGCTCTTACGCTCTTTGTCTGCTCGATGCTCGTGTCCATAAACTTCGTAGACGCCGTAAACCATAAAATCAATCGCTCAATGCTAAGGAACGAAAAAAGGAACAATGAAATAAAGACATGAAAATGCAGAAAAAGAATTATATCATCGACAAGTTACATGGCCTAGGTGCGGCCCCAGAATAGCTGGTTGATCGAGTTGGCTGGAAGAGCAGGTTTGCTGTCGCGGCTCTCAGTTGATCGATTAGGTGTTGCCTGGAAAGTAGGCTTTGGCAGGCGCTCAGGCATTCGTTGTCAAGGTTTGGCCCGTTCTTGAAACGGCCTTGACGAACCGCCGTCCACCGGCAACGTTACGCAGTCGCTGATTTGACCCTGAGAGACGGCGGTCGGTCCTACTGGCTCCTTTGGTCACGTTGGCCCCTTTGGTCCCGTAAGTAAGCAGTTTTGGTCTCCGTCTTCGTCTGGATTTCGAGACAGGAGAGGAAGACTGCGAAGAGGGTGTAGACTGGTCTGTGAGGCTTCCATCAACTTCACAATTACTCGATTGTTTACTCTCCAGGTCTGGTTGAGGGCTTGACGCCTGATCAGAATGCTGTTCGACGTCGTCCTGGTAGATGTTGAAGCGTATCGCACCCTACTCGATCCGCGGTGGCGTCTTGGATGATGAAAAAGGACTAGCACTTCTCCTGGGTTGATGATTAGCCGCTACGTCATGTAAATAACTGGGGGGATTGTGGAATGTCCTTACGATCGTCGCCGCACACCCTCCTTTCGAAGATTCTCAATGATGTGGAGCATTTCTTTTCGACCGCCGTTGCTATCAACCATCTTGCCGCCCATGCTCATCGATACCTTCTCCCTGGCGGGGGCACTGAGCAGGCGCTTAACGAGTAAATGTCGCATTAACAAGCAGACAAAGACCCCGCAGTCGCTTCCGTTCTCTTGTTGTGGGCAGTCTTCCAAATTTACAAATCTCAGCGGTCGCCCAAGAATTTCGCTCATCTTGCGCGTGGCCAGGCGTGCTTCGGAGTAGTTTGAGCCGCCAAGGGAGTCGTAGTGGAATGCCACTCCGTCAAGAGCCGAGACGAGCAGGAGCGACCAATGGCTACCACCTTCGGCGAGACTGACGTTGCGATTGTCGTTGATCGGCAGGAAGATGTGCGTGACCTTGGAGAAGCTGGGTAGCGCAGAGCGGATCTGGCGCATATCGGGCTCTCTCATGAGGAGGAAGGTCATACTGGGACGGAGGAGGATGATTCGGGCCTGGGGATACCGGGGGAGAGTCTCGCGTTCGAGATATTCCTCCCAGAATGCGATGTTGTTATCGGTCAACCAGTCATTCTTTAGTGACTTGATATCCTCGACGGTGAGGAGCACATCGTAGTAGCTGAGGTAGGATTTATCGGGTGCAAGCTATTGAATGCAGGCCATTAGCTAGAGCTCTTCTCACCGAGTTGGCGCTCGGAATTGTGGGAAATTGGGATGAGCGCATACCGCATCGCCAAAATGACGGGCCAGGTGTTGACGGAAAGGCATCTTGTAAATGCTAATGTGCCGCCAGTGATGCTTCTCAGGATTGTAGTAGTCTTTGCTTTCTGAACCTTCGGATATCGATGTACCCGACGAGCTGGCGCTGTTGTGTCGTTGTTTCCGGAAGATTGAGAAACCCGAGAAGCGACTGGATTAACCGAGCGTGAGACGTAAGTAGGTGATATCAGAGGGTCGAAGGACGATAGGTGAACAAGAACCGAAATCGGACGGGGGGCTGGATAAAGTGTTGAGACACAGGAAACACAGGGATGCAACGAAAAGCGGGGGTGCAAGGTAAGTGAAGGTATCACGTCGTTTGAGGTCAGAGGGAATGCTAAGCGCCAAACACCAAGGAACCGCTTATGCGACAGCCACAATGCAGCTTATAGTGGCCCCAAGGCTTTCGCAGACCCTGCAGGGAGGACTTGGAGGGGTATCGACAACGGCGACAGGGAAGTGATGTGTGTCGAAGGGAGGAGAGGGTGCTTGCTTGGGCGAAGGGCGCAAGAAGTTTTGGTGCTTCCCGAACCTGGAGTTCCCAAGTGAGATGGTTTTTTTTTCTTCAGTCTCAGTCTCCTCGAATGGAACCGCCGAAATCCCACGGTGGAGCGATTGATCTGAGGTGTGGCCGGTGGGAGTGGGTTGGTGGCTCGCAAGCCTCAAGGGTGACGTGCGCCGAAACAGCAGCGAGGCCCCCCCTAACTGTCCTGCAGGGGGCTTGATTGGTGCTTCTCAGGGGGGGGATTTCAGCGCGGCTTCTGCCTAGCAGACGGCTAGAACTCTAAGCCCCAGCTGCCACCCCAGCAGGCGTTGGGGATTCGCTTTGGGAATGCCCACAAAACTATCAATGGTTGCAGGGGCACGACTCGCTACTTAGCAGGGAAAAAGGTGTCTGTGCAGCGATGTAGGGCAGGCGGCCATGGATTGATATCGATCGAGCACGGGGAGAACAGCGGGAAACATGACGGCTTACCTGCCTGTGGGTGACGAGGCCTTTCGGCTACTTCCTTCGCTGCTGCCACTGGTCATGTACATCGTCAGGTACTGGCACGCTGCCCGACGGTGCTCGCCTGGAGACGTGGTGAGAACTTGGTGAGAATCGGGAGGTACTTGGTACCTGGTTGGCACCGATAATCTGGTGGGTTTCCCCCACGGCCACGCTGCTGATGGCAGGCACTTATGTGCGATGGGAAATCCTGGGGAGGGATGAGGATGGGTGTGCCGACGGGGGGAAACACATATATTTAGGATGCAGATGCAGAAATTCTGGAGATGCGGACCTGGCGAGGCACCACCGCTGTTTATCTTGATTTTCCTCAGGTCCCGCCATGCCTGAAGTGTCTCGGGTTCCTCTCATCATCCCGCCACGCGCAGGTACATCTCCTGATCTCGTACCATTAACTCTGATGCCGAAAACCTTGTACTAGCCCATCCAATGCGACGCTTGACAGCAATGCCCCATATCATTTGACACTGCCAGACATGCATACGTCACGACGCAGGCCGCCATCTGGAACGGAACGTTTCCATCGTCCATCAGTCCGGATTGGATCTTCTTTTTAGGCCGCACTCTGGGGCTTGCCATCGTCGTCATCGTTTAGCTGAATTCTCCTGCGTAGGCTTCAACCCGCGCTACGCTGCAGCAAAGGTGAGGAAATAAGGCCATTTTCACTTGGCATCGTCCTCACGCACTTACACATGTCCAAATACCCCATTCCCATCGTCTGTATGCCTCTCAGCCATTTTAAAGTGATAATAGGAGCTAAAGACAACGGCCTACGAGTGGCGCTCACGACGGCGTTAATAAGTTGCGATGCATTCCAGGCTGTTAAGAAGCCCGCACTTCAATTATGCAGGTAACTCTAATTTCCAGCTCATTATAGTGATTATTGACCATCAGCATCGCCATCCCAAATCCCTCGTAGCTTTCGTCCCTAGTCCTCTGACAAGTAATATTCTTGCTCATATTGTGATTATGCCACCACCCCTTGATACGTAGCATCCGCTCGCGGAAGAGCAAGCATAGGCCGTTGTTCATTCGAGTGCAAACAATTCAAGCTACCGAGTTCCTGAGGACTCCTTGTTCTCGGTTGCCACTGCACTGTTGAGTAACGTGCGGTTAAGTGCCAGTAGATTGCTGCTTGCGCGAGAATATAGAAGCCGTCGTTTCGCCTCCTCCTCCTTGATAGACGCGAGTAGCACATTGCGCTCTTCCTGGATGGTGGAAACCTTGTCCTTGGAAATCGCGACATTCGCTTTGAAAAGTCCGACGTCACGCGCCCAGTCTTGTTCCAGCTCGCGACGCTCTCGGTTGAACCGTCGCTCGATTCTGCGCAAAGCCCCTGACATGCCGTTCATATATGTTGAAGGGACATGCTCTACCTTTCTTTCGGCTTCGGAAAGTCGATCTGAGACAAGCTACCATCGATATGTTAGCCTGGGTTTGAGGGAATACTCCCTTACGCGGTGCACTTACTTCCACAATGCGATGTAATTGTTTCGGGATACTCCCCGTCGCCAACGGGGAGCAAGTATTCGTTTGTGCTACTGGGAGTTCGCTACGGCTGGTATCCGTATTGTGGCCCTGCGCCACGGGTCGGTTCCTGTTCGCTGTCTGTTCTTCAAAATCCGCCTCCATCTGGGCTTTGATCTTCCCGCGGATTTTTTGAAGTCGTGGTGAATTGCTCTCACCACTCGACGCCCCAGGATATACTGGAAAATGCTGGGTATCAGCTCCGGCTGCATGATCATTCGATGCATCCATTGGATTCGGGCAGTTTCCCACAGCTGAAACCGAGTTCGTGATATCACGAGTTCTACGGGGTCTATTCTCTGTCTTGACAGTCTGTATTTTCCCAATTTCCGATTGAAGTTGCGGGAATCGGGATGTTGTATCTAAGTTCTTGAATTCCAGTTCCTTTGGTAAAGGATAGCGGTCCTCCCCGCTTCCACCAATATGAGAATCGAGGCGTACCGGGCTGCCTGCTTCGCTGATGCTGAGGGTTCGACTTTGATTCATATTTAAGTCAATCCTTGAACGGGTATTGTTGATCCCTGAGTGAAGATTGTCTATCCTTGAACGGCTATTCGGATGTTGCAGTCTCTCCTCCGCTGGAGAGATCGAGTGCGCGATCTTTTTAAAGCTTGACTTGAGGACAAGTTTGGGTCGAGAAGATTTTGGTTGTCTCTTATCCCTTTTCTCCCTAGCCCTTTCATCTGGCAGAGAGACAGCAGTGGTGTGGTCTTTTAGGTGAGCAGACGTCCCCTTTGAATTTTCAGCGATGGGATTGTTTTGCGGGGTCTTGTTCCTTGAAGGGAGCGGCTCGGGTGATTCTGCTTGTGGTTCATTTGCCGTAGTTTTAGGGATATCCCCATTCTGGAAATCATTTCGAGAAGAATTACATTTGGTCTCTTCAGGCTCTGGAAGTGTGGGACGATTATCATTCCCTGCCTCCTCGACTTTCTCTATTGGTCTCAGGGTAGTAGGAATCGGGTGAGTCAATGAGTCGATACTCGCGTTTGAAGTATCCGGTAATGTATCCTCTTCTGATAAAGGCTTGAGCTCTGGTGCTTGTGGTGGTTCTAAAGACTCTGATCTGCTCTTTGAGATTTGTAGCCCGGATTGGGGCCTCTTTTCCCCCTTCTGTGGGTGATGTTGCTTCTCAAATGACGATAATGGGTATGATGGAGAACTTGGAATGAACTCGCTACTTTCAGGATCACTCGACAGGACAATCGGGTCAACGTTGATCTTCGAAATGGTTGGTGAAGGTTCAGGTAGTCGACCTGAACTGGCCGGCTTTTCCACAGCGAGAACCTTATTTTCCTTTTTGGTAGCTCTCGCAAATTCATGACCTTTGTTTGTCACAGGCGTTTGCGAAATTAATATACTCGCCTTAGGTTGGGGTGCGATTTTTGGCTTTTTCGTCGCAGGCCCTTTGGTGGACCTTGGAGGAGCTGCTCGTTTTCGTTTTACTTTCTGAGCAGTAGATCGCCTCGAGACCTTCACTTGTTGAGTATCTTCATCAAACTTCACTGGGGACTTTGCTCGCTGTTTCCTCTTCCTTGTTTTGCGAACTCCGGTTGTGGCTGGTTCGGCAAAAGGGCTTGAATGTACCTCCATCTTCGAAATCTGCGGAGAAGAGGGAAATATCATGTCCTCTTCAGATTCAAGATCTAACCTGATGTTATTGAGGGAATCATTTTGTAATTTTGCTGTGTCAATTGGGGCAGGTTTGGAAAGTAGTGTTGGGGATGCCTTTAGAACGACACCATCAATATCGGTTGACTTGCTCAAAGAATTGATAATTTCTTGTTTGGATGAACGGGTCATGCCTTTGTTGTTGGTTCGCACCTCTGAAAGTACTGCTGCGGCATATTTCCCCTCAATCTCCCTTTCTGGAGGCCTGGACGAACCAGCTTCCTGTTTGTCATGAGCTGCAAGAGAAGTTTGTTTCACCGACGGAGTTTCAAACTCCCAGGGACCTAGAGAAGATACTTCATCGAGGCCGAACGGGGTGCTTCTACGGGCAGTTGAAGCAGTTTCAGAGAAATCAACTTTGCGGGCTGGCATTTCGATTGGCTGCAAGTCAGTGGGTTCGATGTGGTCCTGGGGAGGGAGAGGAAAAGTCGCTGGAAGCTTATCAATTCCGGACTTTGGGCTCGACATTGCCGGGAGAGAATCTTCAACATCGAATTCCCAGGCGTTGTTGGACACCTCGCCACGAATGGGCGAACTACGGCGTGTTGACCCTGCTTCTGACCATGTGAACGATTTTTCTCTTTGATGCGCTGCGTTTGGTGCCAGCAGCTTATCAAGAGCCAAAAGGTCCTCGTCGGCGATCACATCCTCAAAAAACTCCTGGTGATCAGCAAAGTCGCTCAATGTTTCGGCATGATGGCTCGTTGGGGTGGTGTCTAGCTCTCCAACTACGATGGATGGCTCCCGCTGGAGGTTCTTGGCACTTGAACGGCCTCGTCGAGGCATCTTGTAGCACCGCGACTGAGGTGAGGCGGAGAAGGCAGAGGAGAACAGAGAAGTACAGAAACGTGCTGTTCAATCCGACGTACGCGAAGCTTTTGCCTCAAGTGCATGAACGATGTACCATGGGCAAGTGTACGCTCAAAGGTCGAGTTGTTTAGGTGGGCTGTTGACGAAGATACCTCAGGCATCTATCCTTTGGGTTGCAGCTTGTAAATGTCCTTTGGGGCAGGAGCGCGTTTGCAACGACTGGTGGCCAGGAAGGAGCACAGGCTGAGGGAAGGAGCAAGCGAGCTCCCGATGGTGCAGCTTTCCATCTCGCGCAGCCTCAATGGTGAATACCAGTAGGTAAGGTAGGTACATAGACTTTATCCCGCTCATCATTGTGAATTGAAGATGCCTATGTATTTAACAATAGCAGCCCAAGTTTCGGACTGCCGGCTCATTCTCAGTCAAGGTGATGCTTTCGGGCGAAGCACCTCGGTACCTGAATTGCTAAGCTTCGTGTAGCTGGCAAGACAAGTACACACGCCCATTGCCCAGGCTTGGTTTTCCAAGAAGCACGTAAATAGAAGCCAGAAACAATCTTGTCGATAAATATACACATAGTGGAATGGTCACCTATCACCAACGTTAAACAACCTTCTTTCCTGTTATTGGAGGCGCATCAGATCGTCACCAAATCTTGCTGCTTTTACTGCGTAATTGTGCACCCATTCTACATTCCCCGCGTTTTCTCTTTGTTCCCCACAGAAATTCGCTGCAAAACATGGATGTAGCATCATCTTGCAGCCAATTCGAGGCAACATGGCTTGCGTTTGGTCGCCAAGATTTCTTCTCGCTAAGTGCTCTTGGCTGTGTGGGCTCTGGTTTCCGCCCAACGGAATCCTTCCGACCCTCAACCACCCACGATGTAGGAATAGTCGGGGATCCTCTCGCTAAACAGTCGGCCAATCCTTGTTCAGCTGTCAGCCTTTGGTATTTATGCATAAACAGGGCTTGTGGCAAGGCAGAATGTCGCGTGCCTCCAACTGCCCACTAAGCAACGCTCCCATTTGATCATGGTGAGCTCTGAGATTCTGCGTTGTCCCGGCCTTTCGCCTCTTGACCTCCCTCATCATTAATTTGTTTCCATCATTCATCCATATAGATCATGGCTTCTAGCAACTCCCAAAATCTATCAGGCGGGAACGAACGTGAGTAACAATTCACTCATGGACCGAGGACCTCTCATATGGTCCTTAGGAATAATCTAACAAGAGCCACCATCAAGTCGAAGGCCAATTCCAGAATCTTGGCTTCGGAGGAAATCAGCCGGCGGTTCGGGATGACACTGCCTATGAACCTCCCCCAGGACCACCACCCAACTGGAAGCCTCCGGCCACTTCTCAGCTAGCTGAATGTTTCCCCCCGGGAATCGAACAAACATCTAGTCCTATTCATATAGAGCCTAAGACGTCAGGTTCAAGCCGGCTTCATCCATCGGGAGTTGTTCCTCTGGCTCAATGTGCCAAATTCGCCGTTGGTCTCGATCTAGACTGGTTCCATTATCCTTCGATCGCGTCTTTTCATATTTGCAGCTACTGCTACACCCAACACATCTATAACACCCAATTCCAGCAGCTATTTAAAAAGACCCGTCTCGAAGCAGCGAGAGAGGATCAGTGTCAATTTGCATCCCCCCGCATGAAAACAATATGGGCCACCGCCGTATCCTCTGGTGATCTGGACCCTGTCATCGAGTTCATGAAAAAAAGGTCCGCCATCCCCAATTGCCAGTTGACAAAACAGCTTGAGGGGGAAAGCTGGTATGTTAGCCAGGACCTGCAAGGGATGACATTGTGTCGAGCCTGCGTTGAGGATACAAATATAAGACCCCTGTTTCGAGAAAAGTTCACCCTCCAGACTACAAATGCCGCGTATTGCGATTTGAGCACGAGATTTATTGCCGACATGTTTGAAAAATATGAAGAGACTGGGATCTGGGAAACCTTCGTTGGAGATGTTTCCACCCGACTCTCAGTCGGGGCATGTCCACTTAGAGAACCTGCCCCAGGAGTAGGACGTATATGGTTTCAGACTCGCCAAGGTCACCCTCACCCAACCCTCAAGATATGTGCTGGCTGTTATATGGACTTCTTTGTGGGCAATCCTGATGAAGATGTCTTTGAGCAGGCCGATGAATCTTGGGATTATGTCCATTGCGACATTGGGAATTCCTTCTTGCAGTTTACTGTGGTATCCGCTGCCGACAAAGGCGACCCGAGCATCTTCTGGAAAGCTGTGCGGGGCATGACAAGCCAACCTCCGTGTACCAACGAAGGCATTCTAGGAGGAAATTGGTATGGACTTAGTCAAAATCTCCCAGGCTTTTCCGTCTGCAGTTCCTGCTATGCTTCCTTGGTAGAGCCTACTGGGCTCGGACGTCACTTCATTTCCACGGGCCACTCCTCGCAGAAGACCCTGTGCTCTTTCAATCGTGGTCACGGTCGGTTCACAGACTATTTAATTCGTTTCTCTCGGTCCATGGCCACTGGAGACATCAAATGTCTTGAAGATTACGTTATGAGATATGGAACCGTCCTCGTTTGTCCGAAATACCGGCCCACAAGTGGGAAGGATGGGAAATTTTGGGGCTGGGACAACCTGACCATATGCGAGAACTGTTACATCGACTTTGCGAAAGGTAAAAGCCTAGAAAGCAGGTTTCTCCTCAAAGGGAGCCTGGACCCCGTGGGTAAGATGTGTGATATATACTCCCCGCGGATGAGAAGGCTCTACTCGGAGGCCTGTGGAACAGGGGATCTTGACGGACTTTTGGCCAAAGCCAGCCAGAGGCGTGACGTCTGGTCCGCTACAGTCCCTGTTATTCACCGGATGGAGTTGAATCTCCAGGAGGCTGCTTTCCAAGCGGACATGCACCGGCAGTCATCCACTTTCTATAACAACCTTGGCCATTATGTGCACAATTTAATTGGAAGTGGCTACACCGTTGGGAACTCGTATGCCGGATATGGCCACGCCAATGAATACTTGTTGACGGGCCATACACATGAAAAACAGGCAAAGGAGGCGTCACGCATGGCAGCGGATGGGTCGAGCTGGGACACAGTGAGTATGCTGAAAGAGCAGTGGGCTCAGGTGGAATAATCTTGGATTCTATTCCCAACATTTACCCAGAGTGTAAAGTAAGTTGTTTATCAGCAGGCGGTAGGAATAAGTTAGCAAATGAGAGATGAGGCGTTGCACTATCGAAATCTGGATTGAAAAATCTACTCCCAGGGCTGGTGAATTTGGGTTGAATGATATTAATGCTCAGAAGAAGCTTGGGAAAGTATCCTTGCGGTGCGGGTTGTATAAATGCCGACGGCATTGACACAAAGCCTTGAAACAAACCGTCTCCGAGTTTGGCGGACTTTCGGATTTCATCAGTCGGGCCAAATGCCAATGCCGGGCCGCTTATGAAACCAGCCGACTTGATGAATAAGGCAGCGCAGATTCTCGAACTTGTTGTTATGGAATAAAGAATCAAGTGCCAGTGTCTGCATCAATTAAACCTTGATGACGGTCCAGAATGAAAATCGTTCAATAAGTACTAGGTAGATCAAAACAGCAACTTGCGCACGTCTTGAGTGTGCGAAGGCCGAGCATTTGTTAGGGATGTGATGCTGCTGACAAATCGGTGGAGTCTGAGATGGACGATAACTCCGCAACCTTCGTTACCGTTGGTTGCCTGAATTGGACATAGGGGGTATAAAGGTTGGTTGCGCCATTGTAGATCAAGATTGCGTCAACTTCCATTATTCCCTGCTTCAGCAGTATTCTCATCCCATTGGCGGTAGGCATAGGCGCTGTGTACGGATCAGGACGTTTCGCTGACACTTCTGACGGCAGCCATGGCGGTACAACGGTCGACCCCCTCCAGATCGCCACCGGCGACGGCAGACACCCGTCCTTCTGGGACAGGGTCCACACCGGATGACAAGCAGCACATACCGCAGACGTCTCCGGAGCGGCTCGCTGCAGAAGCCGCTGATCGTCAAGACGCGGATGGGGGAGCCAAGCAGCCGGACACGATCCTGTACCTGGCCTACGGGTCGAACATGGCGGCGCAGACCTTCCAGGGCATGCGAGGCATCCGGCCGCTATCACAAGTCAACGTTTCGGTCCCGACGCTCCGCCTGACCTTCGATCTCCCCGGCATCCCGTATAGGGAGCCATGCTTCGCCAATGTAGACTATAGAAAAATGCCCGAGAAGCCGATACTTCCCACCCCGCCGCTGCCGCTCCCCGAGTGGGATGGTGGACTGATGGGAGTCGTGTACGAGGTTACCAAGTCGGACTATCGCCAAATCATGCGAACCGAGGGCGGAGGCACTAGCTACAAGGAGATTTACGTCCCATGCATCCCGCTCCCGGCTGGTGTCGAGATCCCCGAGAGGCCACCGTTCGACAAGCTGCCCAAGCCTTTCGTCGCAAGGACGCTCTACTGCCCGTCCCTGCCACAAGACGTCCCTATCAAGCGCAAGTGGTGGCAGCGACTATTCTCGCGCCCCAACCGATCAGGCAGCGGAGCCCAGGCTAGTGAGCGGTATCTCAACCTCCTCAGGGACGGCGCGCGGGAGCATGAGCTGCCAGAGGTTTATCAGAAATATCTCAACTCTCTTCAGTCGTACCAAATCACCTCCTGGAAGCAGATGGTTGGCCAGGTCCTGCTTCTCAGCATTGGAGGGCCCGCCTTCCTCACCATGGTCACGATCGGACGGTTCTTTGCCGACGAGAACGGCAAGTTCCCGGCAATATTGGCCGCCGGCATGAGTTTCATCTTCAATGCCATCTGGGGCGCCTACGACTGTGTGTTCAAACCCCTGTTTGGCGACGGTGAGCGGACGATGGAACCGGGCAAGACGAGAGCAGGGGTGGTTGCGGCTGAAAGAAGACCCCTACTGGGATGACGGGATAGAGGCATAGAGGAATCACATGTAACAACAAGCGCAGAATTGACT